CGGCCTGCCCTGCGCCGTGCTCATCGGTGAGTGCGGGGCCGAGGCGCCCCGGGGTGACCTCGGGCACGGCGGCGCCCGCCCCGGTTGTTAATACCTCAAGGGGGGCAGCGAGGAGCTGGGGGCGGCCTCGTTTTTGTGGTGGCCTCCGACAGAACTAGAGGAAACGGCCGCAAACTGAAGCACCAAAAGTTCCGCAGGAACTTCAGGAAAAAATTTTGACAGAGAGGGTGACAGAGCCCTGGCACAGGCTGCGCGGAGAGGCTGTGGAGTCTCCTTCTGTGGAGACCTTCCCAAGCCGCCTGGACGCAGCCCTGTGCTCTGGGGGACCCTGCGTGAGCAGCGGGGTTGGACTGGGTGATCCCTAAAGGTCCCTTCCAACCTTAAGGATTCTCTGATTAGTGGTTTGTTCCATATTCACCTTTCCTTGTCACCACAGAACGGCCGGCTTACGGCTGAACGAGCAAGTCTCTGAGTGCTCACCCGCGTTTGCAGGGAGGCTTCCTAATTTTATTTTTTCCTAATTTTAATTATTTATAGTGTATTACTATTTACGCTATAATATTTTAAACATTATTTTTATAATATGTTACTTTATTATATGCATATTTTTTGAGTCCAAGCTTGTATGGTTTGTGTGTGACATCCAGCAGCTAAAAATTATTGCAATTACATCTGGAAATCCACACTTAGCAGCTATTGGCACTTACTAGGATTAATCACCAAACACTTTTTGTTTTGGCTCTGCAGCAAGTGAGCGCTTCAGAAAAATCAATGGTGATTTTTTTAGGCTGTGCTTATCTCCTTCCCTCTGTGTAATCCTAAGATTGCTGCTTGCTAAATACACACTGCAAGGTGTCACTTCAAATTGTGCTGCTGAGGAGGCAGCTAAAAAGCTGTTCTTGCTTTTTCCAGCCTGCGGCCCCAGCGCCTGCACTCAGCTTTCCCCTTCTCCTCTGCTTGCCGCTTATCCTTTTGCCTTTCTCTTTGTTTCTCTTCCTTCTCTTCTCCTTCCTCCTTTTCTTGGAGTCCTCACCTCGTTGCTGCCGTGTGTGCTGTGCTGGGGCTGTCCTGCCAGCATGGAGAGTAGAGACCTCAGGCTGCTGGAGCTCGTGCTTGTTGGAGATAGTGGTGCTCTTAAGGGGAGTTTTAGGCTCTAATAAAATAGACAGGGAGACCAAGATTATGTTGAAAACTCTCTGTTGCTCTATGTGTGTTGCAATTTCAGACAGTGCTTGAAGCACTTGGATTCGTGCTTTTTCTGTGCCCTGTGAGATACTCTTTTGTTTGTCTGTGCAGTGCTCGGAGCGCTACAGTGCCACATGGCCCTGTGCTTCTTGCACCACTGCTGCCTGCAGTCATGTGCATAACTTGTACTGGAAGTACCCATGGGGAAAAGGGGGTAGTGCTCGTTACACTGAGCCCTAGTGCTGTAGGAGCAGAGAAGACAAGCTCAGATGACCTGAGCTTGAAGGAGCAGCCTTTTCAGGATGGCAACGAGGAAGCCTTGTTTTACCTCTAAGTGTGCCTCTAAGCCTCACATCTCAGCTTGCCAATGCTGTTGTAACAAAAACTCTGCTTTAATTTGCTTATAACTTTACTTTGAAACGTAGAGTATCATTTGGAGATGCTAAAGACTGTTTGCTTGTGTTCCTCAGGAGAAACGGGCTCAGGGAAGACCACTCAGATCCCTCAGTATCTCTACGAAGCGGGAATCGGCCGCCAGGGCATCATTGCAGTGACCCAGCCTCGCAGAGTAGCAGCGATATCTTTAGCCACCAGAGTCTCAGATGAGAAGAAGACAGAGCTGGGAAAACTGGTAAGTTGCTTTACGAAGTCCTTATAGGTTTGATTTAGGCTGCAGTGCTAACTGGGCTGTATTGTGGCTTGAATGGATAAGAAAAAGGAAGTTGTGACCACAGATAAGGGTAATATTTGTTTAATAATATGCTTAGATGGGGAAGAAGCTTCTTTGCTTCCGCAGCTCAGAGTGAAGCAACTTTGACTCTTTCTGTGGCATTTTACCCCTTGATTATCATGAGTAATCCTCTATTTGAAGAAAAAAAATAGTTAATGAATAAAAGGAAAAGGATTGTTCTCTCTTCCTAGGCCTTCTCTTCTAGTGCTGCTGATATCTAAAAGTCTGAGTTCATTGCAAGGAGAGGCAGGAGCATCTATGATAAGCTTCCAGTTTGGGAAAAGGCTGATTATATCACATTGTGGGGAGCTTTCTTTGGACTGGAATGATTCCCAAGGCTAGCAATGTGCAGACTGCAGAAACACAGGATGCTTCACAGAGCGCTCCCCACAGCCCTGTTTGTCCCTGGCTGATGTGATGGCCAGAGCGCTTTGAGGTCCTTTACTGCCACCGTGTCAATGGGGAGTGTGAATGACTTTGAGCCTGGGCTTTCTCAGGTCGGCTACACTGTGCGCTTCGAAGATCTCACATCTGATGAAACTAGGATCAAGTTTCTGACAGACGGGATGCTCCTCCGTGAAGCTATTGGGGACCCCATGCTGCGCAAGTACAGCGTTGTCATCCTGGATGAAGCCCACGAGAGGACCATTCACACCGATGTGCTCTTCGGGGTGGTGAAAGCAGCACAGAAGAAGCGGAAGGAACTGGGCAAACTGCCACTAAAGGTACGTGGAGCTGGGGTGGCAGAGAAGGGCAGGGATGGGGCAAGGACTCCGAGCACTGGGAGTCACTGCTGGGGTTTCTCAGCGTCTTTGAAGCTTTTGTCTAGTCCTGACGGACAAGTGTTCTGGTGAATTGCAGGACAAACCCCTGTGTTATGCTTGTTTCGAAGGTGCTCGTCATGTCAGCCACGATGGACGTGGATCAGTTCTCCCAGTACTTCAATGGAGCTCCTGTTCTCTATTTAGAAGGCAGGCAACATCCCATTCAGATCTTTTATACCAAGCAGCCTCAGAGTGATTACCTACAAGCAGCGCTGGTATCGGTCTTCCAGGTGCACCAGGTATAGTGACTTTATCAAATAAAAAACTATTAAAAATGTTCATAAGCATTTTTTTTTTGACTGGCAGTGAATGTTTGAATGTGAAACTGCCAGATAGTAAAATCATTTAATTAAACCTCTCATCGAAAGCTTTGAAGGTGCTTCTTGTTGCTAGGGTTGTGGGATTTGCACACTGAGGCTGGAGTTGAAAGGAGGCTGCTAAGCAAAGCTCTCTGGGTGTCAGCTCGTACTTAATACTTAAATGTTCTTGTCATTTTATTTTTTCTTTTTCTGTGATTACTGGCTTGTACCTGGATACTTGCTGCCTGGATGATTATTTAACAAAACATGTGTTTGAATTTAAGTGATTCCTCCATCCTTTTGGACTCAGTCTTGCAAAGTGCTGTTTAACCTTTCCTTCTGGTGAATCCTGTGGGATTTTCAGGCTTTTTTTTTCAGGCATGGAACACGTGTCTTTTCTTTCTTCCTTAACTGCTTCACTCTTGCTGTCAGGCCAGCATCTCAGAAGATTTGCTGTCATTACAGTCTCTATTCTCTCTCCATATCAACTTCATCTGAACTCCTTATTTTTTTCCCCCTGGCTCCAGGAAGCACCTTTTTCTCACGACATCCTGGTGTTTCTGACCGGTCAGGAAGAGATTGAAGCAATGACTAAAACCTGTCGAGACATTGCCAAGCATCTCCCTGATGGCTGCCCTCAGATGGTCGTGATGCCTCTTTATGCTTCTCTGCCCTATTCTCAGCAGCTCCGAGTCTTTCAAGCTGCCCCCAAGGTGAGGCAATGGGATGGTGAATGGAATGAAATGTCATTCTGTTTGTAGAGATGTTTGGGAAAAAAAAACACATGGAACAAAATAGGCTATATTGATTAAAAAAAAAGTAATAATTATTCTTCACTGCCTAATGATTTTGGTGCTTTTAGTGTGACCTAAGATGATGCAGCTGTGATGGTACTAACAAATAAATAAAATAAATTGCCTGGGATCATGAATAGAAGGTAGGATTAAGGAGAGTGGAAAGAGCTGAGGAATTGAAATTTGCACCATTTTATGTGGATTTCATGTCTGCATTGCAAAAAATGCTCTGCAGTTAATGGGCCAGCCAAATTCTGACAGAGCTGAGTACCGAGGTGTATTGGGCAGGGCTGTAAGAGGAGGGAATTTTGCTGCCTTGGGCATTTGCACCTTGTCAACAGATAAATAGGAATTCCAGTCTTTCAGGAATTCTGTACTTGTGCCAGGAATGAGACCAAAATGCTTTAAAGACATGGTGATCACAGCTCTCCTGATGGTGTATTTTGTATGCAAGAAGTGGGTGCGCTTTAGAAATTAATTAAGAGTACAGATTATCTTAATTTACAAGAGCTGGTGTAGCAAACCTGGTCCTTGGTCATAGCAAGCCATAATGCGATGGAGGCCTTGCCTGTGCAGGCCGAAAATAGCAGCAGCTCCACCACTGCAGCTAATCTGAGATGGTGTTTGGCTGACTTTAGTTTGCTCTTCCTTCTAGGGTCATCGCAAAGTGATCCTCTCCACAAACATTGCCGAAACCTCCATCACTATTGCAGGGATAAAATATGTTGTGGACACGGGCATGGTCAAAGCAAAGAAGTACAACCCTGGTGAGTGCTTCTTTAGGGAACGATGCAGAGATAGTTTTCAGATTTGTGAAAGCTGTCTGAGGCAATTAGCCCCACTAGCAGCTGATTTAAAATAACCCTTTGCACTGTCTAAATTGATGTTACAGGTTTTGGTTGTGTATATTCCTTATCTCCTATGCTCACCTCATCCTGGACTAAGTACCTGTTATTTGGTGGTAAAAGTCTCTCCTTGTGCACAGTAATGTATTTTGGTTCAGGATACGACTACTGAATCAAGCAGAATCTGAGCAGGATTTGGATGGGAGGCTGGTGGGTGTTTTTTCAACGTTGTTCAACAAGCTTATGTTTTCCAAACACTGGAAGTGATGCTTTTCTGTTTTCAGAAGTTGGTCTGGAAGTGTTGGCAGTCCAGCGTGTGTCAAAGGCCCAGGCTTGGCAGCGGACAGGGAGAGCAGGACGAGAGGACAGTGGGATCTGTTACCGCCTCTACACAGAGGAGGAGTTTGAGAAGTTTGACAAAATGACAGTACCTGAGATACAGAGGTGAGGAAAGAACTGTTTTCCCTTAAACTGTCATGCTGCTCACTGCACCTTTTTACTTTTTATGCCCCGTTATCTGGAGAGCTGTAAAGAACTGAACAGCACAAATGGAGTTAGAATTTGACCGGCTGACTTAAAGAAAGATGAACTGTATAGTCTAAATGGAGAAAGAACTTGTTTACGTTGAGCAGATGGACTGCAGCTTAACTATCCTGGTTAGACTTCAAGTCTAACAAAGTCTGACAAAGTCGAACTTCACCAGCCAGCTTTAGGCTATTTGCTTTTGAGCTATAGGATTAAGGTTCCAAAGTCTCTCAGTTTATAGACTGATTTAGGAGGGAAAAAAAAAAAAAAAAAAAAAAAAGGTAAAACATCTCAGTTGTTTTTCTGCTTGTGCAGATGTAACCTGGCCAGTGTGATGCTGCAGCTCCTGGCCTTGAGAATTCCCAACGTACTCACCTTTGATTTCATGTCCAAACCGTCTCCTGGTAAGTAGTTACAAAGCCTTGGGAGAAATGGCATGGTCAAATGAGTCACCAAGGCTTAAAAATAGTCTTCAGGGCAGCATGAAAGAGGGAATGTGGAAAGCTTGGGGCTCTAAAACCACAGCTTCTTCTGGTGGTAAATGAAGTTGCAGATCTGTTCAGTTGTGTTCTGCGTCATCAGAACACATATGGTTATGGCAGAGAGCAGATGAGTGTAACTTCCAAACGCAGCAAAGAGGAGACTCACCCAGGAAAGCTGTAGAGAATCTCACATGGCCTTGGCTCCGAACTAGAGATGGCACCTTCAGCTTTACCTCTGTCTTTGCTACTCCAGTTGGAAATTGTGATTGGCTTACTGGAGGAGGTTTCTTTACAGTTTGGGGCGTCCCTTTCTCTAACTTACTAAACAGAAAATACTTGTCTGTGTCCGTCAGGAGAGAAGTGGCAGTGAGGATGTTGGCAGATCCGTGGCAGCCCTGCCAGTGCCAACCAGGAGGCCTCCCTGCCTCAGGGTTTTTGTTTTGACAGATGCAATTCAAGCAGCCATTGAGCAGCTGGACCTGCTGGGGGCTGTGGAACGAAAAGAAGACCAGCTTGTCCTAACTCCCCTGGGAAAGAAGATGGCAATGTTTCCACTGGAACCCAAGTTTTCTAAAGTAAAAACTACAGAACAATTAGCTTATTTTTATCTTCCATGCATTTTCTGTTTTAAACACCTTAAGCAAGATCTGGAATCTTGAGTGGCTACAGCTCTAGTGTATTTGTGGTGTATGAATGAAGCTTAACTCTATAGCAACTGTGCTGATTTATCTGTCATTTTCTGTTCATTTAAGGGAGATATTTAAAGATGATTTGTTTTGACTAGCCCCTCTGAAGCAGAAGCTAGTCTAGTTCCATTGCATTTTCTGAGTTCCCTGGCAACACTGTTTATTGGCAGGTTTACCACGTGTCTAATACTCTCGTGGGTTTTAGTCACCATGTTTATGTTTTATCTAGACTGGCTGATCTCAAGAAATTGCATGGTAGTCACCGTTAAAGGTGGTTGGTGGCCTCAGAAAGGAATTTAGAGGTGTTTCTAAGCCAAAGTATTTATGGAGCTGAGCTGAACGATGCTTAGCTAAGTTCTTAGACTGTCAGTGAGCAAAACAGCCTGTGCACCTTGCGTGGGTTTGGTCGACCAAAAGTCAGTTTATCCTGTGATTTGCAGACCATCCTTCTGTCCCCTAAGTTCCACTGTACGGAAGAGATTCTGACCATCGTCTCGCTGTTGTCTGTGGACAGTGTCCTCTACAATCCCCCAGCCCGGCGGGATGAAGTGCAATCCATCAGGAAGAAGTTCATCTCCAGTGAAGGGGACCATCTTACCTTGCTCAACGTGTACAGGGCCTTCAAAAATGTCAGTGGCAACAAGGTAGGATTCTGTGGGGATGCCTTGGCTGCCCGGGGACGTGGTGGTGAGGAGTTCTTATTACACATACCAGAGTAATATCTACAGCCTTCACAGCTGATTATAATATGCACCCATCCAAAGCAGCTGTGAGAAGGGAGGGGTTATCTATGCTGTGCAGTTAGATATCAGAGTGTGTAGCCCTTCCCAGAGGGCTGCAGGAGACCTGGTTGTCACTAAGGCCAGTTCTGCAATCACAGAGCCAGGTCCCTCCCTTGCCTGGTTCTAGCTGGAAACAGGAGGGAGTGAGAGTGTGTTGTGACTTGCAGATTAACACCTGGATGTGCTCTGTGCTATGTCAGGATGTGATGCAAAGATACTGAAAGTTTCTGTAGACAGATTTTGATTTTTTTTCTATCCTCAGTCAGGACTGTAGGTCTGTAGAGTGGCACAGCCACTCTCTGCAGCATCTTTTGCACCCTCACTGTTCTTGTGCAGTTTGCTTTAACCAGCTGGGAATGTTGAGTGCTGTTTCACAGCACTTGGTGACCTTCAAGAGCAAGTGAGAGCAGGAAGAAAACAACACATTGCAATTCCTTCACACTGTGGGAAGCAAAAGAAAACAGGAACACAATCAGAGATAGAAAACTGACTGGAGACCGAGATAGTGCCTTTATTCTAAGAGATGGTGTGTTTTGGAGGATTCTCTTTTCCATGGTATCTGAAGAGTCATGCTTTTTGGGCACAGAGGTGACCCCTTCTAACTCTTGTGCCTCTGCTGCAGGAATGGTGCAAAGAGAACTTTGTCAACAGCAGGAACATGATGCTTGTGTCAGACGTCAGAGCTCAGCTCAGGGACATTTGTTTAAAGGTAACGTGTTGTCACATGTCACACAGTTTTTCTTTGGTTTGTCCATGTTTTTTTTTTTTTTTTTTTTTGCACTCAGTGGCCTTGGTGCCCTGTGCACCAAATCCGAGAAGCAAGAAATCTGGTTGTGTTCTCATTTTGTAATGAACAGCTGTGTAAAATTCTTGATTGAAGATTGCATCCCAAAATCTTACTGCTGTAAGGGGTTCAGATGTGTGAAAAGGGACATGGAGCCCCGGGAAGGCTTCTCAGGCAGAGGACAGATTTATTTAAGCTTTTCAGATGTGGTATTAGGGGAATTAGGTTCTCACTGAGGGTACTGCCTCTTACAGAATCACAGGATGGTTGAGGTTGGAAGGGAGCTCTAGGGATCATCCAGTTCAACCGCCCTGCTCCAGCAGGGACACCCAGAGCATGTGGCACAGGGTGGCATCCAGGCGGGTTTGGAGACTTCACAGCCTCCCTGGGCAGCCTGTGCCAGGGCTCTGTCACCCTCACAGGGAAGAAGTTCTTCCTTGTATGGAAATGGAACTTTCTATGTTTCAACTCATATCCATTGCCCCTTGTCCTGTCATTAGCCGCCACTGAGAAGAGTTTGGCCCCTTCCTCCCTCCATTCTCCCCTCGGGTATTTGTACATGTTGATAAGATCACCTTGTGCCTCTGGCTGCTAACCAGCTATCGATGCCATTGGAGTCTTCCCGCTCGGACACGGGAAACATCCGCCGCTGCCTGGCTCACAGCCTCTTCATGAACGCCGCGGAGCTGCAGCCGGACGGCACCTACAGCACCGTGGACTCCCACCAGCTGGTAGCCATCCACCCCTCGTCCGTCCTCTTCCACGGCAAGCCGGCCTGCGTGGTTTACAACGGGCTGCTCCACACCAACAAGTGCTACATGCGGGACCTGTGCGTGGTGGATGCCGACTGGCTCTACGACGCAGCCCCCGACTATTTCCGCAGGAAGCTCCGAACGGCCAAGAACTGACCTGCAGGTCACCCCTAGGTCAAGGATTTTTAGGCTCGCTCAATAAGACTGTTGTTTTGTTTTGTAATGAATGTAGGGGAATGACAGAGTAAAGAGCCTTGTAAATCAGGTAAAAGACATTAGAGGAAAATGGTGGCTCCGAGAGAGCCAGACCTCATAGTCTCCTTGGCTTAGAACAATCATCCTTTATAGCAGTTAATCTTTAAAAGGGAAGCATAACAACTGCTCTGTGCATGCGTGTGTATGTCTGTGTGTGTGATGAATCTGTGCTGGGGGGAAAGGGAGCTGGTATCTGATTCTAGTTTATAACACTTGTGGACATCTAACTACTTTATATATGAAGAAATGAAATCCAAAGAGCTCTTCTGAGCAGACTTGGTATTTTTTGATGATTGTGCTTGTATCCTTAGCAGGTTTTACTGGGGAGGGGGAAAAAAAAAAGGGAGAAAAAAGTTTTACATCTCTATATACAGAGGACAAAAGAGGCATTTTTAAACTGTTTCTAGAAGGGAGGTGCTACTGTCTTTTACCTCAGCAAACATCTTCCTGCCTGCGTGTCATGTTCACCATGTCAGTGTGGAGGAGGCAGCCATAGATTCTCAATATTTGCATTTTACCACTCGCAACCACAGGGCAAATCTGCTCTGTCCAGGGCGCTTTTCTCCCTGCAGAGCACAGGAGGGACTCGCTCCTGGAAAGGATCCGGTGTTGGAGCAGCTAACGCCTGGCTCCTTCCCCACGCTGCGTCTGGCCCTCCTGGCCTTGGAGCTGGTGCGCCGTCCACAGCAGCTACTCTGGCTACTTTGAGGTGAACTCAGCAAACCAAGTTGGAAGACGTGGTTTGGAGGCTAGACTTCTTAAACAGCACCGGAATCCTCAAATGTTTCTTCTGCCCCGACACTGGCACTTCCCTCCTAATTCCAGCCCCCCATTATACTTAGGCTCTGCATTAGCAGTTTGGAGCTTAGCAGGGTTTATCGAGATCCATAGATCCACCATTAGCAATATTTATTTGTATTTTTCCATAGCCCCTTGGCATCCAGGTATCTTTTTATTTTCCTCCTTTTGGAGAGAAGTAGCAATAAGAAACTTAATCCTCTTTTTAAATACTAGTATTAAGGAACTAGAATCACTCCAAAGGTGGTTCTTGCTCTTTGGTGTGAAGGAAAATGGGTTTGTTCCATTGTGACTGTGTCTGGGTGGAAGAAAATCTTAACTTGTTTTTAAATGGTAGCCTAAGTACTTCTAAATAACCTCTCTGGGAGAGGTAGCTTCCAGTTTCAGCAGAGTCTGTTGACACAGTGTATTAATTTATATCGATTTTTGGATGAGTAGAACTCAGATTTGTTATACCAAGGGTGGGGTAGGAAGTGGTTCTGTAAATGCAATGTCATTATATAACACAGTGAGAATAGCTAACACGGGCCTGTGGCTAACCTATTGTTATTGTATTCTTCCAGCCTCAATTTAAACTCATGACATTTCCATGGGACTGCTCAGGGATGCAGTCGTATTGGCAAGCCCTTGGTCACCCCATTTGCACGGGGAGTAAACAAGCTGGTAGCTCTGCTCGGGTGGTCTGTAGGATCAAGCCGCACTTCGCATTCAGTAAAATGCCCTTTCTCATTGCACGCATCACGTTACACAATGCATATATGTAATAGCAGTAATAACAGTACGTATATGGTAATATGCCTTCTGTTAGGGTAAATCAATATTGATTTGCCTTGGTCTCTATGAAAACTGAGGCAAATACTTTTTTTTTTCTTCTTTTTAACTGAAAACTCCAGAAAAGTGGAGTTTTCTTGTGCTGATTAGCAATGTGCTGTCGCCAAAGAGAGGAAATAGAGTCGTCTCAGGCTGCTCCTGCAGGGTGACACCGAATGTTTGCAGGGATCCACTGTTCCTTGGTGGTAAAAGGGGCACCGGTGTGGGGAGCACAGGCAGCAGCTGCCACTCTTGCACCTGGGTAGTTTGGGATTAGTGTTTCAAGGTTATGCTCTTATTTCCATTGCTGTAACTCGCCCAAACTGCAGGGAATCATTAGAGCACTGTGTGTTACTGTTCCTCGGTTCTGTCCCCTCGATGAGAGGGGAGTAAAAGCACATTTTATTTGGGCCGTCTAATTGAGCAGCCTGTTTAAGGGAGGAGGGGATGGGAAACTGATTTAGAAGTAACTAATTTGTACATTTTCCCCCATAATAAAGAGCAATGGCTAAAACACCTTCTCTGTGGTGCTTTGTGCGGCAGGAAAGCTGGAGTGGAAGAAAGGAGCACGGCACAGTTAGGTAGGAGGCTGTGGGGTAGGGTTGGGGGGACCTGTGCTTTTAGCAGTAAGCAACAGGGGTGGTCAGTGTCACCGTGCACTTAAGATGTTAAAAATAAGTTTAAAGATAAGTTGGCAGCAGTGACCCTGTGCTCTCGTGCAGGATGGGAATGCCAGGTGGGAATCCCACTCGTTTGGGGCCCTCGTGGGGGCTGCAGCAACGAGGGTCGCTGGGCCGCCGGTTCGAGTCCCGCGCCCGGACCCAGCTCCGGGGCGGCCCGCGGGGGAGCTGGGTCCGGGCGCGGGGCTCGAACCGGCAGCGCCGGGACTCGAACTGGCGGTGACGGGACTCGAACCGGCGTAGCCGGGACTCGGCCCCGCGCGGGGCGGGCCGAGCCGGGCTCGGGGGCGGGCGCGGCGCTCCGGAAGCCGTCGCGAGGCTTTCCGTTCCAGGCGGTGTCCTCTTTCCCCTCCGCGCGCACCATGCTGCT